TGTAACTTTTAGGAACTTGAATTCTTGGAAGACATCTTCCAGCCATTTCTCATTAGATTTGAAGACTAGCATAATTGCTGGATCCGTCATAAGTTGGCAGCATGCCATGAATGTTCTTCCAACTTTCATTCCTCTTAAGCATAACAAGTGGGGTATTATGTTCATGTTTCGTCTTTTGTCATTCCTTGTTCCTCTTAATATTTTGATTGTTTAAATTGTGGATAATTTGAAAAATAAATTTCATGGATTGATTCAAAGCATCTCATCCTCGATAATATCTGTCAATACTTTCAAAGTTAAAATGAAGAAAACGAAAGGAAAACAAACAAGGAATCACTTGATTTCCTTTTTCTGGGCGGGACAAACACAAAACAAAAAAAATATAAAATAAAAAAAATATAAAATGTAATAAATATATTGGAGTTGGTATTCTTGAACAGGTAAGTTGGGATACAATTGTAATAATCAGACTGAGTAATGAGAAATTGTGGAATACATAAGGACTTTGGGCTATCCAACCTCATGAGTTAGCTTTTGGGGTGTGTATTTGTTTCTCAGGGAGGTTCTTATAAGCTGATATTAGAGCCTTCCTTTCCATCCTAGTTTGAATCCTACAATGCAGGGGGTGATGCCATTCTTATCCCAGACCTAGAAAGTTAGCTGAAGTCGGCCTGCAGGTGTGCTGGGGTTGCAAAGTACAAGTCTTAAGTTATGAGGTTCTATTGTGGTATCTATGAGGACCTTAGATTTTCCACCAACATGAGCTAACTTTTGGGTTTTGGTTCTCCCAAAGTTTCTTATCACTCACCTACTGTTTGCATTATTTGTAACGCTTGCTTGGGCCTGTCTTGTTAGGATGATGTCCGATGCGGTGCCTCTTTTGTTTTATAATTCACATATAAAACCAACTGCCTTAGTATTTGAAAACAGTATGAGATTGTTTTTAGGAAAAAAAAAAAAATTTGGTGATGATATTCTGAAGCTTATGCTTTTGGCTTTCTTCGTCCATATACTTGTATAATTAAAGTTGTGATTCAATTCAAGCATGCAGAAAATATAGTTGGTATTAATTTAGAAAAGGGCCTTTTGTTTTCTCTTTTGGGAAACATTTAGAAAGGGTTTGGAACATTTTTTCTCCTCCTCCTCTTTTGCATACAATGAAAAGAAATATTGGAACGTGTGAACATCATTATCCAAACCTACTCTAACTACATTGCTTATTTTGGCATGAATATCTCTCCTTTACCCCCCGAAAAATCTCAATGTTAGAAGAGTTCTACTTAGTTAATCTTACTCCAAACAGAAGAAATTAATAACATGAAGAAAAAATCTGCATGATAAAGTTCAAAAAATCCCATTGCACGTTTAGATGAACCTGATGAGGATTTCTGATAATGTCAAAGTGAGGCTCTTCATACAAATCTAATCAGTTTAAAAATGTTGGAGCATGCAGAGAAGGCTTGTTAACTTTCTTTGCTTTAAATTCTAACAGGAAAAATATATACTTCTGAGTGCTGCAGATGCAAATACAAATTTGCTTTCTCCCTTCGGTTCAAAATAAATTTAAGCAGAAGAACAAATACTCCTGTGTCTGGATGCTTGTCCAACTAGTTGAAAATACCTCACCATGGAACGAGGCAACAATTCATGAAAAATATCTTAGTTGGCCTTGACATCTGCTACAAGGCAATTAAGTTTAAATCAAATCTTTCTTTAGGAACAAATATTCTCAATCTGGGCTTCTTTGTGTTCATTCTTGTTATTTGATGATCCATACTCTTCTAATTTGGTCATTGCATGCTTAAATCCAAGACATATTGCGGACTTATTGTGTTTATGCATGACTTGATAAGTTGTAACAATAACCCAAGTTTTTCTCCCCTAGTTTAATGGTCTCTAACAATCTATGGTTATTCTATATATTGTTTCCTGTTTGATGTAGTCTGATACAAATGCATATGAAAATATGATTTTTGTTACGTAGTCTAACCAAATATTATATTTCTGATTACTTATTGGCAGAGTTTCATGCTGCTTGTGTGGATTCTTGGCTTACGTCATGGAGAACCTTTTGTCCAGTTTGTAAGCGTGATGCAAGGACTGGTCTAAGTGATCCTCCACCTTCAGAATCCACGCCGTTGCTTTCATCTGGCCCAGCATCTGGAGCATCATCGTTAGTGTCATCTGTGAGATCATCATTAGCATCATCTTCTGCAATACAAATTGGTCGGTCATCATCACGGTCCCCATCTGTTTCTCGGGACCATTCTGTGGCTAGTACTCCCTACATTCAGCCATCATTTAGGTCCCATCAGCAATCTCCCTTTATGAGTGTCAGTCGAAGCTCAGTAGATCTTAGGAATGCATCCCAAAGATCTCAAGCATCTCATTTGAATTCTCCACATTCCATGGGTTACCCATCGATGTCATCAATGAACTCAAGGTACTTGTCTCCACATATTCGAAGTCCAAGCAATGTTTCAGCAAGTTATCTTGGTTCTTCTAGTCATCGTCATCACCCACTTCGTTATAGCGGGTCAGCTGCGAGTTTTTCTCCATTTGCTTCTGCCCAGTCCCTTCCAGAATGCTGAGTCATTGAACCAAATTTTGGATTACAATTGTGAGGCCTGCACCGCATTTGCAGATAGTCATGAAAAAAAGGAGGAAACAACATTTAAAAAATTCTCATGACCTCTGCACTAAATCAGATGGTTGTCATGTTCTGACTAACGATCTGCTTCCATCCCTTGTTACTGCTCGGATCGTGTTGTGGTCACATTTGGCGGTTGATTTCTTCATGCTCAGATGTACACCGTAAGATCACTGTGTAGTGTTTGTTTTATTCTGGTTGATGTTCTTGCATTTTCAGGTTGATGTGTTTGCCTAAGTCATGATGATTCTGCCGTTTGCGCTGGGTTGATATTCACCATGTCATATTCTTCGTTTTCAAAATATACAGTTTAACTGCTAACATGAGAATATGTTTGGCCTGTACAGAGAAATCGCAGTGGGATTAGTTCTGTGTATGTTCTGATTTTTATTAGTTTTCTCAGCTGGGCAGAGTTTCTCTCCTGAGTTCTCCCTCCAGTCTTTTCGATGTGTACTAAAACACCTTCTGTCCTTCATTTTTTGTCGGCCTTTTTGTACTATATATTCACCATCTTCTGCATTTTCACATGCACCTGGACAGAACTGGAAGAAAACCACCTGAAAAGATTCTTGTCCCCAGATGCTGACAGGTTCTGTGATTTATGGAAGTTTCCGAATAATGACAGGTTAAGTGATTGATGGAGGTTTATTTGTACTGAGCATGGAGTCGTGGTGATGAGTATTGAATTTATAGGTAATTATAAGTTGATATGTTGGCAATTGTTGTTACTCCTGAGCCTTAGTAACAACCAATTTAATTTCCTATGCCCCTCTTCTTCAGTAAACGTGCATCTTTACTAAGTGATGTGGAATCCATCAAGAAGAAATAAAAAGCCCTCACTTATTTCCCCTCCCTTTCCTCTGCGAATAGAAATTGGGCAGGGAAAATCACTGTAAGTTTCAAAGAAGAAATATCGAAAGTCTCAATAATATATAAACAAGCAGTATGGATTTTGTTGTTTTTTCTGCTAGATTTTGTCATTAACTTGTTGGGACATTTTTAGCAATACCATTTTTTCTTTAGGACCATATAGTGATCTTCCTTGGTGTAGAAAGCCATTGAATTGGTTAGATTCTGCAGATACGTAGTTGTGATTGCTGTAATGGGTTCGATTTAAAAGAGGTTGCGTTCTTGAAGACTAAGACGTGAGTGTGTGTGGGTGTGCGTGATATAAAATTAGAAATCAATCTGATTAATGTGAGTGATAAGGGATTAAAAGTTTTCGTTTTCTGATGTAACTCTTCATACTCATTTCTATTTACTTTACAACTGTTTCAATTGTATTTGAATTCTCTTCCATGCAAACGGAAGCTCAAATCATAGTTACAATGTATGTTATCATAAGTTTCTAAAATGAGTTCTAGTCGATCATTGGTGTTTGGATTTTTTAGTATTTTTTAGTTATTTTTCACTTAGTAGATCAAAGTCAAATAATCAATTCAATTCTATAGCAACCCTGTGAAGTGCAGTAAAAAGATAAATACGATTTAAAAGCACATAAAAATAGCTGTGAAGTTTCAATCTTAAAAACAGAATAATTAGGAGTTGAAAGAAAAAGTCAACTCTAAAACTGAGTTTTAACTGCCAAATAGTGGGACTAGTAGAGTTTTGATTTTTTTTTTTTTTGTGAGGATCATTTGGCATTATTGATGGTTGATACTTCCAACGTTTGGTGTTTTGTCAGGTCAAAAGAAAAAAATTTGGTTTTTTGGGATCTACCACTCCTGTCGCTGTTATAGAACGCCTATTAGAAGAATTTTTTTTTAGTTTGAGAAATATTAAGTATTTTTTATACATGCTCATATTTAATGAGGATAGTAAAGGATAGCAGAAATTAATATGTTGTTGCTTGATAGCAACAAAAAAAAATGATGTTGGAGTTTAATGTAGTTAATAAGAATAATATTGTTAGAAACAAATTAATAAAGATAAAATTGAAAATTGCTTAAATTTTATGAAAAATTTAATATTTTTAACTATTTTTATTGATATGTGTAAATTAGATAGAAATGCCTTATCTTTAGGATGAGAGTGATGACAATAAAAAAAAAAATGGATTACGTTTTTTTTTTTTGGGCTACAGGGAATGAAAAGAAACAAAAGAGCTCAAAAGGGGAAATGAGTACTTTATGCATTTGATAAGCCCAACAAAAGGAATATACTTTTGTTATTAGTATTGTGATCATATTTATAATCTCAGCATTGCCTGCCTTCACAAATGAGTTTGTGTCTCTGCAGCATCCTTTAATGTCGTAAGAAACAGGAAAATGTCCCTTTATGTTTTTTAATATTTATTCTCATAATTAATTAAATGGATCTGTCAAATATAAATTCAGTCTATGAAATGAAAGTGTCAACTTTTACTTGAAGCATTTTTAATGGTCAACAAGACAGGTCGAGATTGATGCGAAGACTTTTCTGAGGGAGACTGGGGACCTATATATAATTTAATTAATCTCAAGTCTTTTTTTTTTTTGTTTAAATAACTCAGAGTATTCTCAAACTATTTTGAGCTTAAGACTAATTTTTGTGAAGCGTTAAGATTAAAACTCTCCTAACAAGTGTGTTTTCTGAAATTTGAACTTGTGTTCTCTTTCTTATGAGGTGAAACCGCTTACTGTCTTAATTAATGACTTGTTAGTTAATTTTAAATCCTTTTATTATTAAAATATTGATAGTAATGTGGTTGCTTCCCGATTGTAATTTTTTTTATAACTACAAAGAATAATTATTAAAATATTTATAGATTATCCACCAATAAAGCCATTATATTAATATGAGATTTAAAAACATGACTTTGTAAGCTATGTTAACGAATTATACTTCTTTCTTTTTCTTTTCTTTTTTTTAACAGATGAATTGCCCTCCCAATTAAGTGCGATGGGGTAAATCTACAGATCCGAATGATATAGAATATTTAAATAAACAGATCTAACGAAGTTAGGATTATTTTAGAGACTAGAAATACTCCTTTATTTAAAAATTTTATAATTTTAATATTATCTTTTCTCATAAAATCCAATTTTGGATTTTGAATCTAAATTACTTTGTTATTAGAAAATAATAATAAATTTCATTGAACTTAAATATTTTAAAGAGAGATCAAAATTTATGATTATTTTGAAGATCAAAATTATAAATTAATTTTTCCAGGCACATCCTATCAACTTTCGGTAAAACTACAACCAATTTTAGAAAGAGTTATAATTTTAATTAAATTCGTAACGCATTTTTAGAAAAATTCAATAGCAAGTTTTTGAAACTTTTTCATAAAAATCAATGATAATGTAGTTTTGGAAAAAATTTAGTGTTTTTGAACTTCAATTATTATAAAATTAAATATTCAAATGTAACTGTACCTGATGAATAGCTGATCTGGTTATATTAAATTCTGTGAATTCTGAGTCAAACCGATATGGGTATAATTCCTTTTTTTTTTTTTGGCCTGAATATGAGCATAAATTCTTCAAAGAAGAAGAAGCTGTGCAATTAGTAAAACTGAAGATGAGTATATAGTAATTGACTAACTGTAATCATTTTGTTAAGCAAAGTTCTAACAAAGTCCAAGTGTGTGTTGGCGGTAGAACACTAGTTCAGTGCTCGAGAAAGGAGGCTGTTTTTATATTTGTTTTATTTAATTTTTTGGGAAAATTAGATTTTTGTGCTTCAAGTTTTAAAAATATGACTCGCTATCAATTGCTTGCTAAGTTTTTAATTCAGTTAAAACTCAATCCCTAATCTTTTAAAATATATATTTTTTTAAAAAATTATCATTTAATAATTAGTTGGCAGCTTTTAATAATTAATCTCATTAATAAGTATCACTTTAATCCTCGATATAAATCACTTGTAATACATTTTCACATATCAAATAATATATTAAATTAAAAATATTTTTCTTTTTCTTTTTTTTGATACGATAGTCTTTTCTTTTTCTAAGTTGACAAATCATTATCATACTTTTTCTCTCTTTTTTTCTCTAATGAGAATTAAATAAGACAAAAATTAAAAAAATATTAAATACACTATAAATGACATGAAAGCTCCATTATAAATAAATGCCTATAATTTTAGACTGTTAGCACATATCATCTAATTTAACAAAAAGAATTTTAATAAATACTTTAGATAAGATATTAGTGTTTCTTTTAAGTTATAATTAGAACCCAAGAGAACTCTAAAACAATACTTTCTTAGACAGTATGGAGTAATGTTTAAAATAGGAGCCATTGGATGTAATTTTCACACTAAATATTAAATAGGGGTAGACATACACCTAATTATGGGTTTGAAATATAGCTGGCTTGTTCTTTTTGATGCCCCTTTTATGTCCACTAGCTTGAAAGTGTGGTGACAAAATATTCAATTTCTGGGAAAAAAAATTCATAAATAAATGTAGCAATGCAAATAAAACAAGTAATGGCAGTTGTTCACTAGTCAGCTTTCAAGTGATGTGGCATTTGTATAAATCTGGTAAGGGCGCATTAATTGAATACGGCAATGCTGTCCATATAATAAATGATTACAGAAAAAACTCAGCAAAATTTAATTTAATAAGTAATATTTTCTTCCTTCTCATAATTGATTTAAGAAATTTGAGACAGAGAGATATTGAATGGGTACTATTTATTTACATGGTCTCTAACATATATATAGATATATATATATATATATTAAAAAGTCACATTTGTCACGTTTAAAATATTGACGATGTTATGTAACTTTCAGCTGGTATTTTTATAGTTTAGATTGGATTTTCTGGAGGAAAATAATTAAAGTATGTTTTATATCAATTTTTTAATGTAAAAGTTTTGTACATGATATTCCAATCAATATCGATCAATAGCATGGGATGGAAGGTTAAGAGAACTTAATTCATACATATTTCTCTAATCTTATTTATAAATTATTTTCAGGGAATAAGAGTAACATTAAAACTACTATACATTAAGTTTGTTTTAAAATTTAGTGAATTTTTAATTTTATCATACTCAATATATTTATTTTCTAAGAAAATAATAATTTGCTCAAAATAAAATGATACGATTTATAAATATGATAAAAGAAATTGTCCCTTGTTTAGAGTACAAATGGAGTAATTTCTTACCAACCTTAAGAAATTTGACAATGAAATGCGGAAACATTCTTAAATAATGTTCTGATTTTTATCATAGGAGAGCTCAAAAATTGTTGATTACTTAACTTGTACAGGGATCCAATATTAATCTTTTGTCATATATCATTGACCACTAGTAATATCTATGAGAATTAGTTAAAGATTCAATTTGTTTTTAAATATAAGATCTCAATTTATTTTGTATATCATATTTATTTATTTATTTTCTTAAGCAATCTATATGGTAATTGCACATGTTAAGGGTTTAGTTCCAAATTAAACTTCCACTATACATAATTAATAAGAATAATTTAGAAAAGACTAACATTTATTTATTACAAATAAATAACTTAACTAATATACTTAATAACCACAAATTAATTATGTAGCTGCTATACTCTTTTTATTTCTTTTTATAAGGAACAACTACCAAAATTACGCAATTCAAATTACTTAAAATCGATACATGTATAAGAAAGATATATATGTTTTTTTTGTTCAATTACACCCTTATTTATAAAGAGAATACATAAGAGATAATATTAATGAGTGAAAATTTATTGCAAAAAATAACAAGTACTATCATTTATCCTACGGAGGTAAAATGAAAAGACAGTTTAAAATACAGATAGAAAAATTGTTTATTATATCTAGAATCTGGAAATACCATTACAAAATATTCCCGCCGGTCGTTGATGTAAAATATATTTAACTAATTTAATTAAACTAAAAAATT